TATTTTAATCTTGGCATGGGTTTATATATATATATATATATATATATATATATATAATCTCTGTCTCCTGTGTGATTTCTTTTCTTTCCGATACTCTGAGGTGAGTGATATCGGGTTCGTTGTCTTTCTTGTAGAAAGGGAATAAAAGTAATTTAAAATAAATAGAGGGTCGGAACTTCTTTTCTGCTGAACTCTTCCAGGCTGGATGACATGTTATAGTCCAGTGCTTAATGCTGGACAATAATTAGAAAAGAAGAAATGCAACTTCCTGTAGGTTGGTTGATTATGGATGAGTTTTATAAACTGTCTCATGTTGCGTTGCAGTGGTGGTGCTTATTTTAAAAGCATGTTAGAGAAAGATAAGTCGAAATGGTTCATTCCAAGACTGAGATGTGAGACACGATGCTAGAAGCTATTGTGGTTGGGGTTAAAGAGTTAATGTTATTCTGGGTCTAGCCTCCGGATGCTGACACAATCATTAAGAGTTTATCTGTTCCTTTAATAGAATAGGACAACAGAAAAGAAAGAATAGCATCCATATTTCTCTTTTTCTCGATCTGTGTGATATCATTTTTTTCCCCTTGTTGCAGCGTTTTGATCTGTTTTCATGACAGTTAGCTTTGTCTTCCCAGACGTTGGGAGTGTTGAGCCAGGATGGTGTGATGCGGTTTGTCAACATCCACACATGCAAACTTCTCTTCCACATGGGTTCTGTGGATGAGGCCATCGCAGCCGTCGCAGTCGGCCCAAATAGTCGGCATATCGCAGCTATCATGGACAACGGCAGCATTAACATCTACAGCATGCAGAGCGTGACGCAGGAGTTAAACAAGGTGACTGTTTGCTGCAGAAAGTAGGTGTTTCCTCACTGATCTGACTTCAGGTTGACATGTACCTGCGTCTCCTCTCTGCAGCCTCCTCCGTTTAAGGTAGCTGTGGTCTCTGGAGGGGAAGCTGATCAGGACTTTTCTAACATAAAGATCAAGGTTAAATCAGAGAAGATTCAGAGACCAGCCAAGAGCTCAGGCAGAGGAACAAAGGTGAAGACACTAAGGCCACCTGCAGGGTCTGCAGCTGACGACAAAGAGGTACGAACAACATGGAAGTAAAGGTCTTTGTGATTCATATTGGCCTATTTATTATTATATTATTATTATTTCAATTTTGTTGTTTTTCTTTATCCTTTTCATATTTTGTGGTATCACAAACATGTTATACTCTAGTTTTAGTCTGACATGGACAAATCTTTGCTACTGTTTGGGAGAAATTCGAAGGAAATCCAGTTTGCAGTTTGAGACAAAAATGAGAAGCAAAGTGCTCTGGTCTAATGAGAACAGGATAAAGCCTTTTATATACTGAATATGATTATAATTGAACTTTATTGATCTCACATTGGAGAAATGTACCTCTGCATTTAAACCATCCCCTTGGGGAGCAGAGGGCTGCCATTGTGTGACGTCCAGAATGGAGACTGTGGGGATCGAACCGAGTACTTGCAACCTTGTCAGAGCCCAGGCACACTTTTAATACTTGTATAACACTAGGCACTGTATCTCTATCCTTTGGGGTGGATCCTTTTTCACAATTATTCATAACTTCATGTTTTTACTACACCGCAGATTGTGGTTCTAATGTGACAAAATGCTAAAAGGTTGCAGTTTAGTTTTTTTACACTGGAAAAACGATCTAGAAAAATGCTTAAATTAAGCATGTTTACCCTTAATTTGAGTAGGTAAATGAGATAGTTTGCCAATGGAATGAGTATTTTTACTCTTAAAATTAGATATTTAGATAAAATGCACTTGAAATAAGACAATTATCATTGTGTTTTCTTATTTTAATTGAAAATTGTCTTGTTCCATTGGCAAAATGTCTCTTTTATCTCCTCAATCCAAGAAATAATGCACTTATTTTAAGAAAAAATGACTTATCTAGATTTCATTTTTTTCCAGTTTAAGGCTCCATCTATCATCCAATCCATTTCCTCAATCAACTAAACCATTTGCATCTTTTCTACTTTTTCTGAATTAGAATGAACTACCGTCTGGTCTGAATAAGAAGAGGCTTTTAGCTCTGCTGAAAGCTTTTGGAGAATTTCCAGCTAAATACAGGTGAAAACTTGGTTTATAAAAGAAGCCACTTTGAAGTTGCAGGTTTGCTTTGCCTTTCTATCGTTATCTTCTGAATCCCTGTTGCAGGATGTTTGTATGGAAGTCTTTGCTGTGTCTCCCAGAGAACTACGCAGCTTACAGCAGTCTGACTGACAAAGGTCTGCATTCAGCATTCCTTACCCTGCATGACAAGTACCCCATCAAAAGCCTCAAGCTGCAGAGGGGCCTGCAAAGGTACATACCGGATCTGTTGGAAAACATTATGTTCAAGTTTCATAAGTTTTCAGTGGATCAATGTTGTTGGTTTTTTTTTTTCTTTCCATCTTCTCCAGGGTTTTGTCTGCCTTAGCTCATTGGGCAGCCATTTTTGCTGAGGTTGAATATCTCCCTTTGGTAGCTTTTCCTTTTGTTAAGCTTTTCCAGAACAATCCCATGCTCTGCTTTGAGGTGGTGGCTACTGTCATAGGTACTTCTTTACTTTAGCTTTTTGCAGTTTATTTTTCTTTAAAATCCCTTAAAGTCGTTTCTTCTGACTCGATGTCTGCATGTTCAGTGAACTGGTGCCAACACTGGTTTGAGTATTTCCCCAACCCTCCTCTGAACATCCTGAGCATGGCAGAGAACGTTCTGGCGCACCACGACAAGGAGCTGCTGCAGCACCTGGTGGACTGCGGCATCACCTCACAGGTAGAAGGCCGAGCAAGAGGCTCAAAGCTGAGCTTCAGATATAGAAAAAGAATAAAAAGAAAAGATACCTATGTGTCTTTGTCTACCGCAGCTGTATTTGTGGCCCCTGTTGGAGACGTTATTCTCAGAGGTTCTAACACGTGATGAGTGGCTCCGCCTGTTTGACAACATCTTCTCCAACCACCCCTCCTTCCTGCTGATGGCCTGTGTGGCTTACGTCATCTCCTGCCGGGAACCTCTGCTGCTGTGCTCCCAGAAGAAGGACTTTGAGGTACGCTTTTGAATGATTCTTGTTCTGAGATCGGGTTAACTATGAGGTGCTCTTCCTCCCTATAAATGTTCCTCTGGTTTCCCCTCCTCTCCAGTACTTTTTTCACCATCGAAACAACCTGGATGTTGGGGCTATGATAAAGGAGGCTTACAGGATCATGTGCAGCACGCCAGCGGACATTCACCCCCGAACCATGCTCTCCGACTTTACCCCCCTCACCAGCGGCCAATACCCCGTCTTCAACCAGTACCCAGAATTCATAGTGGAATACCAAAGCAGGGAGAGGGAGCGAATACGGCTGCAGGAGATGGAGTATATAAAAGAGCGGTGAGCTAAATAAACGACAGGAATGCAAAACAATTAAACACTATTAACCAGTATGCTTTTTTTTTTTTTTAATACTGACAATAAATGGATTTAAAAACAAATCAAACAAAACATAATAGGGAGAGGCAATGAATTAACGTATCGGACAATAAAATTATTAACATTAGCATGTCTTTATATACCTGCATGATGGTGTTTAGTAACCTCCATGGACAGAGCCAGGTGACTCCAACTAGTCCTTTTTTTCGTGGTTTTCCTTTCATCTTCAGGCAGGAGTTGTCAGCTCTCCGAGCAGATTTTGTGCGTCGCCAGGCTGAAGAGAAAGCCTACTTTGCCCAACAGGTGGATCCGTTTCTCAAAATGTCTCGTTAACATTTTAATGTGTCAGCATGCTAAAGTTAAAAAACAATTGAAATGTTTAAAGAAAACTAAGAGCATAAGAGAAATAGATGGGTGATAAAGGAGCTAATATCTGATTTCTACTCAGGAGTTGCTTCAGAAAGCAGAGGAGCAGCGCAGGAACATCCTGGCACAGGAAGAGGAGAACCTAGCACAGCAGAGGACAAAGTAATGAATGAGGCACTTATTTGTGTGTTCTGACAAAAAGAGAAAAATTTCTTTAGATTTTTAGAAGTTATAACTGTCTTATGGGGATCAGGTTGGCAGCTATGAAGAGAGAGCTGAAGGTGAAGGAGTTACACCTGCTGGACGCAACTAGAAGACGCTTTCTGAAACAACAACAGGAGCTCCAAGCCTCACAGATTCAGAGACTGGATCAGGAGATCAGCTGGAAGGTAAATGTGGCTCTTGTCTGTTTGTCATCAGATTAGCGAGGATAGATTTTAATCGTAGCTCTAAGTCAGAGGCATCAATCCTCAGATGCCACAAAAGCTCTTGGGGCGCCCTAAGTTTCAGATTTATTTATCTTTAGTTATTTAGGACAAACTTAATTATTTTCCTCCCGTTTTACCAAAGATGGATCTGCGTGAGCAAGAGACGGCTGCAGCAGTTCAGGACCTAGAAGTCAGACAGATGGAGCTGGAGGCACAGAGGAAGCAACTTGAGCAGGTGTCAAACCCTTAAGCTGTAACAGTGAACATATAGATGTTTCTGCCCTATACACTGAGACTGATGGTCCTGCATTTGCTAAAAATGTTGATGTTAAGGACCTGCTGAAGGAACAGAAGCGTTTTGGACTTGAGGTGGAAGAAGAAGTACAGCTAAAAATGAGGGAGGCCGAGAGGGCAGAGGAGAGTTACTCAGAGATGCTGCACAACACAGAGAAAAACCTGCAGGTCAGAAACCCGCTTCATTATAATCCTAACATCAGACAGCAGGGGAACTCAGAGGGAGCTTAGATTTGGTTTAGGTTGTGTAGAGTCCTTACTCAGCAGGTGCCTCAGAACCTTCTGTTCCTGCAACAAAACTCACACATGCAGGCCCTGGAGGAGTCCCTGGCAGAGGCACACCAGCTGGGCATGGAGTCCGACTGGCAGAGGGAGGTGCTGGATCGCCTGCAGCAGGTCGATGCTGAGCAGGAGAGGAAGAGGGAGAGACTGGCACAGCTTCAAAGGCAAACTCTGGCAGAGGAGGAGAGGCTGGCTTACACCATGAGAGAAGTGGCAGCAAGAAAAGTGAGAACAGAAATCTTTTTTTCAGCAGTATATGTTTACTTGTGTAGAGTAAAAAACTAATAATAGAGGTGAAATTTGATCTGAGATTCACGCTTCAAACAAAAACACCAGTAAAACATCCCGGCATTGCTGGGGAATTCAGGCTGTGTACAGATATTTCCTCTGGCTGCTGTTATTTATGGAGAACCATGTTGGTGATTTTCAGTGGGATGAAGTGGCGAGTATCAGATCACAGCTACAGGAGCAGAGAGCTGCCTGGTCCACAGCAGAACCAGGTATCACACCTCACACAGAACTAGAAACAGACATTCATTCATTTAAGGTTCATATGCAACTGACTGTTTCTGTTCAAGCGGTTTAGCATTAAAATTATACTAGCATTACCACAAGGTGGCAGCATGTTGTTTTCTAGTCACTGTATGAGAGGAGATGCAGGTTTTTAACATGGATAGAAAAGTGTCTCCTATCAAATAAAGGTTCTTTTAATTAGAACATGTTTGATTGATTAGCAATAATACTTTGATCAAATATACTTTTTTAGGATTCTTTGCTGTTAAACTCTAATAATTCAAAGAATACAAATCCCCTTTACCATTATTAAAAGACAGTAACACTCAAAACTTCATTTATAGCCTGATTGTAACAAAATGTATTAGAAGCCTGGACCACTGGTATAGATCTAATCAGCCTCTTTTTCTTTTTATGTCTGAAGGAGTGAGACAGAGGAAGACACAGTCACAGTGTCCGTCTCAAGGACCTTTGCCTAGACCTGCTGCCTCTGTTGCAACCAAAGGTGTAAATACAGCTGTGGGAGGCTGCGGGGCCCCCACCCAGAGGCAGGCAGGAGCCACCATGGTGTGTCTGAACAGCAGCTCACCCTCAGGGAGCACCTCCACCAACTGTGAGTTCATTTAAGGAGAGGAAACGCATAATAGCAATTCATTTTTTCCATTAAGCCCAAATGTTTTCCTTTTGTGATCTGAACATAATTCCATTCATTTCCTCTGAGTGTTTATGTCATGATGAGTATTTAGCACTAATTAAGTATTTCTGTTTGCATCCCGTTAGTCTCCTTGGACCGAGGTCGGGCCCATTTGGACAGCAGTGAGCGGGAGCTACTGAAGGAAATCAGGGAACTGAGACAGAAGCTGGCAGCCAGAGCCAGAGAGACCTGCTCAGCCTCCTCACAGTCTGTCCACACGCTGTCTTCTGTCTCCTAGTGACCACCAGCTGCCTTCTGTCATCTGTCTGTGTTAGGAAACATATTCTGAACCTAAGCTCTCTGCAGCATAACACAAACAGTGACTCAGACTGTGGACCATACGGACTAGCTGCTGCCTGTTTTTCTGGCACGCATCCTTCCACCTCAGACGGATTATAGGTTTTTATCTGATGATAACTCAAATAGACTGAATTTACATGATAATTCTTTTACCTCTTATCCTTGATACATGTTTGCAACTTTATTAAATTCCGTTCTTATTCAGCCTGTTTGTGTCTCTGCAATCTCTGCATCTTTCTTTCCTTATTTGTCTTTCTTGTTTCAGCTCTTTGAACAGTCCTTACTCAGCAGGGTGTAGCTTGTTAAAATACGTCAGTTTGATTTGTGTGAATGTTCTGTATTTTTATGCCTGATTTCCACTTTCTACTCACTGCTGTTTTCTCTACTTGTGACTCTAAATGTGCATCATAAGCATATTTTAGGCCTAACATGCACAGAAAGGTGAAGGATGAAACCAATTTAAACTAAAGATTTATAAAGTACAATTAGCTGTCTATAACTAGGTTTTCCTCTGCAGTAATTGTTTCAGTATGGACTGTTACAGCAGCTGTTACCAAAACTAGACTGTACTTCTATTGATGTTTTCCTTTGTTAGAGCAGTAGTGCTTTACTTTGATGTTTTATTGTTGTTGATTGTTTTTTTTTATGTATTTTTTATTTAAAACCATTTTTGATAAATTTTTCTGTATTCTTGCTGTTTTTTGTGATTTCTGTCTTCTGCTTACCGCAGTTTGCTAAAAAATGATTCTGATTGTTTCAGAGGCTACTGTTTTTCAAACTTCAAAGATGGCATTGTCAAGCAAAAACAAACCAGAACATATCCAGTTACAAAGTAGGAATTAGATTTTATTGTACTTGTCATCTTTCGCTCTCCAGAATTTACGGGGGCTTTAGATTCCTCCACCTTCTCTAAAGGAAGCCAAAAGAGGAGACACATAGTCCCTCCAGCGCGTTCTAGGCAGTTCCCTGTCCTCCTCGCAGTGGGTCAACATCTACCCAGAGACGCCTCCGAAACAGATGCCCAAGCCACCTCAGCTGACTCCTCCCGATGTGGAGGAAGCAATGTCTTTACTCTGAGCCTATCACCATATGTCTAAGTGGGTGGCCGGCCTCTCTGCAGAGGAAGCTCATCCCAGCCATGTCTTCCCATCATGACACAGATTTCATGAACATAGGTGAAGGTAGGAATGGAGACCAAACGGTAAATAAAGAACTTCAACCTTTGGCTCAGCCCTCTCTTTCACAGACCAGTACAGTGTCCGTCCACATCACTGCAACATCACTCGGTGTCAATCACCAGCTCCATTCTACCTTAACTATTGAACAAGACCCACACATACTTCGACTCCTACCACCGGATCCTCCATCATGAAGAGGGTAAGCCAGCTTTTCCAGCTGAAGAAAATGGACTGACATGCAGAAAATGATCTTTATGCACACCAGCCGCCATTACGCAGGTTGTAGGTCCTGGCTAGAGGGCACTAGGACAGCCATATCAGAGAAAGGTAATTATATCTGCAGGTAGCTAAACCAGACCCCTTTCAGACCTTGGCTTTGCCTAGAAATCTTATCCAATATAGAACCTGTGCCAGAAACCATTCATTCACCCTGCAGGGTGACCGACTCCTGCTGCGCTTGTACAGTGGTCAGATGGCCCTTAGAGAAGATCTCCTGACTTTCTACTCCTGGACCATCTTTTCAGGGCACCAAAAGGACTCTATGGAGGACCTTCTCCAGGTCTACAAAACACATTTGGACCAGTTGGGTGAACTCCCATGATGCCTAGAGCACACTGCAGTGCACAGGGTACAGAGCTGGTAACAAAAGCGTAACTCATCAAAAAGAGTTGAAATATCAGGAACTAACCATTGTCACGTTTTTATGCTAACGAGGACACAATATAGAGGAAACAATACAGTGAACATATTTTGGGGGATTTTTAAAGTGTTAATTCATAGAATAGACACTTTAAAAACCTGCATTGAAGACAAAGTCCACGTCAGATGGATTTTAGCTGAGAATCAAAGAGCCATCGCTGTACTACTGTCTCGACTCATGAGCCCCATCCAGGTGTGTCTACTCTAGGTCCAAAAGGCCTCCAGGGGTTCTTTGACAGGAGCTGAAGTGACAGCCATCTTCATTCCTGTCACTCATGCATTTCACTCCATCCACCCATCTTTAATCTGTACTCAGCATGTTGACTCAGGCCTGAGAAAAGAACTGCGAGTATGCTGTGCTGATCTTTATATACTGCAAGTTTAACCACATCAACTGGTTTTCCTTTATTTTCTTAATTTTTTTGGTCTTTGGATGTGTGTTTCTTTAATACATTACTCATAAAACATATATTGATGTATATTTTTTTATCTTCAGATACAGAATAAGATCCTGGAGACTTAATTTTTTGTAACTTCAACATATCATATATTAAACCAAAATGTATTTCAATAGGGTTTTTGACTGATCAACAAATAAGTACAAAGTTGTGCAGCTGTTTTTTGAGGGCCTAATAGGTTTATTAGTGAAACAACAAAAGCATCAATACAAAATAACAGCAGAGGGGGCAGGGAGAAAGCTTTGAACATCTCATAAAAAAAAACATTAAAAAACAGAAAGATTCTGGAACAGCAGCAAACCCAACAATACCAGATCATCCATCTAGACTGACTACCAAACCAACCATTACTTCAAGAAGCAGCCATAAGGAGAATCATAACTCCATAGGGAGCTACAGAGATCCACAGCTTAGGTTAAAAAAGTTTGTAACAGGGACAGAATTAGCTATGGACCACACCAATAAACTCCAGAATCCACAATAAATCATTTCCGATTTGCATCAAGCTTTAAGACCCTGGCTAGATGAGACACATGGAAAAATTAACCCAGCATCTCTGAGAACTCCTACAGTGAAGCACGGAGTTGGAAGCATCATGCTGCAGGAATACTCAATCTACGTCACAGACATGAAAGCTGGTCAGAATTAATGGGAGGTTTACCTTTCAACATGATAAAAACACTTTAACTAGCACTAACAGACATCCTTATGTGAATGGCCCAGTCAAAGATTGAGCTTAATCGCACTGAATCTGAGTCATAATTTTAAAAAAGTTCCCAGATGTTCTCTGGAAACTTTAAGTTACATTTTCTGTAGGGCCAATCAGTCAAATGTGGCTTTATTGACTTAGCAAAAATATATAAAATAATATAAATTTATGCCACATTATTCATGATTCTGAAGAATAAATAAAAACTCTTGAGGTTTGAGGTTTTTTAGTGAGAAATTAAAACATTGAGGGACAATGACTAGTTTAGGGGAGGCACTATCCATAACACTGTGTACTTTCAGTTCTCACTTGTCACATCTGATTACGTTGAGGAAACCACCTTGCTCTAAGCCGGGTCGGACCTGCCTTCTTTTCCTAACTTGTTTTCTTAAATCAGTAGTTCATCGCCAGAATAAACCCAAACAGCTGCTGTTCTCTTATGGTGCTGATCCAGACTTTCTTTATCCAAAAAAAACAGGCTTTATGTTCCTCTCCTATGGATGCCTACCACAGGCTGTCAGTATTGTCACACAGAGGGTCCAAACCTCTGGGGAAGGTGAAGCAGCGAGTTCAAGACCTTCGGATCCCCTCATCCTCTAATTGGGATTATGAAGCCAGCGGACCGAGGTTGGACCTGAGTCACAATGAAAGCGCTCGATTTGCAGCAGACTCTCTGCTCAGCCAGGGTTTGGAGGGCTATCGCCAAGCGTTGAAGGCAGAGGGAGAGGTGGATTTTCTGTCAGAGCTGGAGAAGGATTACATCCTACAAAATGGAAGCTACTCCATCACAGGTTGAATATTTCTCTAATTAAAAGCTTTTTTCCCCTCTCCCCTTGCAGCCTGTTGTGTTTTAGGCTCATACAGCCTTGTGTTGTTAACAGATAACTCAGGGTCTGAAAGCCTGTTTGCTGATTGCCAGTCCTGCTCCTGCTGCCCTGCAGTTTCAACACACATCGACTCCACTGTTGAGTGTTCGGAGCACAAAACCAGTGAAGGTAAATAAGAGTAATTGCAACCCTAACCGCTTCAATATTAGTTAACTGATTTATCATTTTCTGTCTTCAATCTCCAATTTGTCTCTACCCAGATGTGAAATCAGCTCCTTTGTTGGACAATCTCAGCACTGAGGTTTTTTTCCAGACTGACAGCAGTGCAGCTGGCATGAAAGATCTGGTCAGACAGTTCCTCAGGAAGGCTAAACTGGTATGATATGATCTGTTTATGTGACAGACAGCAGGACATGATTATTTGTGCCTGTGAGCAAAAGTCTATAGTGTCAAAGTATTACATAATGGCAGTAGGGCTGGCCCAATCCGATATCGATATCATAAATCGGTCCCATATCAGTCAAAAAATTAATATTGGAATATATCAGCCTGCCTCTAAAATCTCCGATATTAGAAAGCTCATAGAACAGCTTTTTTTTCCCCCTGCTTGTATTTAATGTTTTTGTAACAATCAGTTTTTATCTCCTGTTGACTATTGTTCTCTGTATTAGAAGTATCACTTGATCAAATCTTTTCCATCATTCTACACTATAAAATTATTAGTAAAAGTATGCATCATTCATGCTGATATCGTATTGGGTTAATCGTTGGTTCATGCTTAAAGCTGCTGTATTGGTTTCATGTAGTAAATGAAAAAGTTGTTTTGGGAGACCAATAATTGGCAGGTTGTTATTGACAGTTGCTGTGTTCAGGCCCTAGTTGTGGTGATGGACAAATTCAGTGATCCAGAACTGCTGTGTGATCTTCTTGAGGCGAGCAGGAAGAGGAAGGTGTCTGTTCATCTGCTGCTGGATGATGTTAACCTGAAGCTGTTTGTTGACATGTGGCAAGATCTCAAACTCATTGGCAAAAACTTCCCTGTAAGTTTCTTCTTCTTCGTTACCTTGGAATTAGCTGATTAGGTTATTTTTTCACATCTATGTTGTGTTTACTAAAGAACCAGTGACTTGCATAACTATCAATACAATTTACACTTTTCCCCCCTTATGATTCGACCACAAACCTCAGTGTATTTAACTGAAATGTATAATGTGACAGACCAACACAAACTATTTGAAAAAAAATTAAACTTGTGTCTGTTTTTTATTTCTGAATAATAAAAAAGTTAAATTTCAGTCAAACCTGTTTTCTCTGATACCTCCAAATTCAGTGCAACCTACTGCTACTGTTAAACTTCAATATGTGGACCATTAAATAATGGTAGATGAAGTAAACAATGTAGATGAAGTAAACAAACTTAAATAAACACACAATCTAAAAAAAAAAAAAAAAGATGGTTGTCCGTCTGAACTGATAGGCTGTGAAAGGAGAGGATTTTTCATTTTAGTGGAGAAAAAATTAACGGCCTGCAGGTGTAGAGCTACAGTGAAACATTTTACATCATTGTTTATTTATTTATGATAAATTGAGATCAGGACCAATAAATAACTTTCTCTCCACCTCACAGTAATGCCTCATTTTATTTTGTCACACAAAAAAGAGCAAGATAAATGCCTTTCCAAGCTACTGTATGGATCTGATGGTTGGTGTCTGTGTACAGAAAGTGTCGGTGGGAAGCATCCCGGGTCAGACCTACTGTGCAAAGACAGGCAAGAAGCTGACGGGTCAGATTGCAGAGTGTTTCATCATCGCTGACAGGCAGGAGGTGCTAACTGGTACATACAGGTACGTCTGCACACACCATCAAAAGAGAGGGCATTCCAGTTTCTCTATTAATGCTTCCACTTTTGTAAAACATCTATCCTATGATATTTTGTTTTTTTGTTTGTTTGTGATTTTCCCTCAGTTTCACATGGCTGTCCGGACAGGTCGATCGGAGTATGCTTGTTCTCATCAAAGGCAGCTCGGTCTCACATTTCCATCAGGAGTTCCTCAGACTTAACTCCAGCTCCAAGCCGGTCCCTGGCTTTAACACCTTCGTCCCTCTCCCAGAGTCTGTTTGTCTTTACTCAAAGTCACATAAACTTCAAACAGTGCATCCATGGACACATGGGGAGATTGATCTGTGGTCTACTCGGGGGGATAAGAAATCAAATACAGATGGAAGAGCTGATCAGGTCCTCTCAGATCTTCATTCTCAGCTTCAAAGCACTGCTGCCAACACCACAGCTGAGAGGAATGTGGAAGTCCATGAGGACCACTCTCTGATTGCTATGTCCACAACACAGACGCATTTAAGGAAGATTCATAATCAGTCAAGTTTAAACAAGAAAAATTGTCTTTCATACCCAGATGGGGGCACTGATGGAGTTTTCTCTCACCAAAGGGACACAAACAGGTTGCCAGAAGCTGCAGATTTCACCCCAGATTCCCAGCAAATAGCACCAAACACCAGCTGTCAGACTCCTTCCAAACCGCACATGTCAAAGCTTCAAACCAACACCTTTTTCGGGGAAACCAGCAAGCAGGATGAGTTCATCAAAAAGCATCAGGGTCCTCTAAGCTCACTCTCCTACGCAGTGTCACCGTGTTTAAAACCAGCCCCTGCAAAAATGAAAACCTCTCTGAGTCCTCAGCATCAGGCAGAACCCAGAATGTTCCTGTCAGATGTACGACCCAGGATGAATCTCCACCCTGTCTTATCCCAGCAAGTAAACCTTACACAGAGAAAGCACTGGAGCCCACAGCAAGCTGCAGGACCCAGAGCAATGGCTCGCTATAACTCCTTCAGTGGGACACATGTGATGACGGGGCAGGCAGGGTGGAGACCTCTCCAGAACGACAGGAACACATCACTGGAAAGAAGCTTAAGCATGATGGAGAGATTCACAGCAGGCTATAGAGGAGCAGGACTGCACCCAAACTGGATATAATAACATAAACAGTTTTAAGACAAATCTCCACATTGTAAAAACAAGGATTAAACAGAACCCCTAAAAAGGCTTTCCAAACATTTCTAACGGATAGTTTTACTATGTCATAGACCAACAAAAAGTGATATAAAAACCTGAAATATGAGGATTGATATTGATCTTAAATGTAAAAAGGTCTTGGAGGTTTACTGGAGAACATTAGTAAACAGCATCATGAAGCCCAGGAACCACAGCACACTGGTCAAGGACAAAGTTGGGGAGAATTTTAAAGTAGGGCTTTGTTATAAAACAGGATGGAAGGACTGCAAACCTGCAATAACCGGCCTGTCTTCTAAACATGGCTGTCCAGGTAAGGAGAGCATTGAAGGAAAGAATACCAGAGCCTCATAGAGGAGATGCAGAGATCCACAGCTCAGGTGGGAGGTCGGGTAGCTATGATTAAAACAAAGTTTCTGGATGAATGACAGGAATGAAGGCACAGAAAGTTAAAATCTATATTTAAAAAGAAGTAATACCAGCTACTTAAGAGATGCAGCTGCTTTCAGACTGAAGATATTTTTCACAGCCCATTTTCACATCTTGTGAAAAATGTGTTTCTCTTTTATGACACTGAAATATCTTTATGGTTAATGTTATACATGACTTGGTAATGTTAATTTTTATATGTAAGTTATTTAGAAGACCTCTCTTGTATTGCAGCATTGTATAATGTTGTATAATGTGTAATATAATACTGTATATGTCAAAATCTGCTGTATTGAATTGTCCTGCTCACTATTAAACTCTCAAACCAACCAAGCTGAATTTCCCCATCCCATTTATTTATTTATTACAGCATATGGACCAGTACACAATATTCTTCTGCAAACGTTGTTTATTGGTGAACTTTTCCTGCAGCTGGTTTATGCTGACTGTGTACTAATGTGTCTTTTCAGTTTTCAGTGATATTCTTAGCATTTAATTGTGTCCAATTCTTTTTATTTATACAGTGCCAATTAACAGTTCAACAAATGCCAAATCAAGGCACTTCACTTTTTAATGAAAAATAGCCACTCCATTCCAGATCAGTTTTGGCTTTAAAACCATGGAGTTAAAAATTGCATCAAGTCATGGTACTTTTTAATTATATACTTTTGAAAGTTTTAAAATATTTTCAGAATGAAGGAAAACACAGAATCATAGGTTACTGGCTGTTGGCTCTTTTGCCTTAACTTTGTCAAAACATCAGAATTGTTATGATTAAATACATAACTAAATAAATACTGTGGGAACAAAACTATTGCTGAAAGAAATGTATTGATTACTTAAGGAATATGATGAGATTAAAGACATAGATAGATACATTGTTCTAGAACTGTTGAACCATTATTACTGCTCATAATTGGGCTCCCCTGTTAATATTAACATTATTTTAAAGTTACCTGTAATATTCTAACAAGTACTTTACTTTTCTTTAGAATTCCTTAGATAAGTTGTTGAATCAGATTTTGTGTTACTAACCTGACAACAGCCAGATGCATGTCTCGCTCCGCCCAGCTCCACTGAGCGGAGCTAGGCGGAGTGAGACATGCATCTGGCTGTTGTCAGGTTATTGTGTTACAGGGTTACTAGTTGGAATTTATAAGTTTGGTCAAGAATGTGACAACAGTGCCATCTAGGGGAAGCTTAATTTCCAGAAATCTTTACCAGTTACTCCAAAAAAGTTATAAAACAATCCACTGGACTTTGTCTCCATGACTGAAGATGTTTTGCTCCCATCTGGGAAACTGTTCCATTTCAAAATGTCAGAATTGGCATCGAGCTCCAAGCTTGATAAGAAGCCCAAACCAAAGCCTTGTTTTGGCTTAAAAAACATGCAAATTGAACCGAAGAACAGGTCCGCCCCCTTAGGAATGGGGGGTTATTGAGATCTTTTGTTAGCCTGCAACACCCAATACTGGACTATGCCTCTCAAAGGGGAATCTTTAGGGGCATTGTTGACCTGTCTGACCAGGCGAGATGTTTTGGTCCCCTGCATGGGGATGGGGGTTGAGATGATTGTGGGAAGGAATCAACTTTATCACTGCATTGTAGGTTTTAACCCCTGAGTCCACTCCCTCTGTTTAAGATTGGTTCTTCTCTGTTAACATAAATGGCTTCCGTCACACCCCTTTCAAACCACCTGTCTTCTTTGTCCAAAATGTGAACATTCTGGATCTCAAAAAAAATGTCTTTTGTCCATAAGATGTAGATGTACAGCCGAGTCTGGTCCTGAAGAGGTAGCTCTCCTGTGTTTGGCCATGTATCTGTGGAGAGATTGTTTGGTTTCTCCGCTATATAGATCAGAGCATTACTCACAGGTATTGCAGGCTAACAAAAGATCTTAACAACGACCATTCCTTAGGGGCAGACCTGTTTTATTTAGTGAATTCAATTTAAATTTACATTTGGAAACACAGTCAAGTGCATTGATTTTTAACTTAATTGATGCACAATGGGCTCTCCTGTGTCTCCCATAGTGCTGAACTTATACATAAAAGAAGTGGAAAGCAGAGCTCTATACTCATACATGGCAACAAAACCCAGTCACTGGTTCAGATACTTGATTGAGACATGGGTCAAAATAAAGACCAAGGATATCGACAAGTTCACAGACCACAGTGGACAGAAACATCAACATCACCCCGGAAGATGTGAAAGATGACAGCCTTGTCTTCATGGACTGTGGGATTCACATCATGGAAGATAGACAACTCAACATAGAGGTCTACAGGAAACCTACAAATGCCGATCAGTACCACCGTTTTGACTCGCACCACCCACTGGGACACAAGCTAAGCCTCACCAGAACCCCTCAGACACGAGCAGAAACCATCCCCTTCACCAACAGAGGTTGAGACATACAAGGACATATCAGGGCAACCCTGAAGAACTGTGGTTCTGCTGAGAGGGAAGAAAACAGAAGGAACATCGTCATTCCATATGTTGCTGGAGTCTCTGAAAAACCCAGGAGGATTTTAAACCAGCACCAGATCCCTGTGCACTTCAAACCTGGCGACACTCTGAGACAGAAACTGGTTTATCCCTAAATTAAGACCCCCAAAAAAGGCCAACAATTTTGTTTATGCTGTTCCGTGTAGTGAAGAGTGCACAGACCTGTACATTGGAGAGAGCATGCAACCGTAAAACAGGCGCATGGCTCAAGACAGGAGGGCCACTCCTTAGGACCGGACCCAGCCGTTCACCAACACCTGAAGGCTAAAGGACACTCGTTTGACGAGAACCATATCCATATTTTGAGCAAGGAAGAAAGATGGTTTGAGGGGGGTTAAAGAGACCATCTTTCTTAACCTGGAAAAAGCATCTCTCAACAGAGGAATTGGTCTTAGACAAAACCTCTCATCTACTTATAAAGCACCTTTAGGAACAATACCCAGAAGATTCACCTCTCTAGAGCCCTCACCCGACTCACACTTCAATGAGGCATGTGACCGAAACCACTCTGACAAGGACGTTAACAACTTATCAGAAACCACTAACAAACATTAAGACCCCCCATGTGACCTCGATGGCCAACCCAGTAGGAGGGATCAGAGGCACGTTCCACCCTAATTATTTTGTAAACCTACAACATATCACTCTCAGTCCTCCCTGCCACTAGTTAGAACTGTAGAAGCCTCTTGGATGAGAGGCGAAACGTCTTATAGACAACTTCTGTTATGGGTACGTTCCTATATGCAATAGAAGGTGCTTTAGTGCATGAGAAGTGTTGGCGTTGAAAGTAAAAAAATGCACATCTTCATAACCTTCCCTAGCAACAGAAAAATGAGCTAAAACAATGAGGTAATCTATTATATCATAGGTAGCATGAATTAGGCAACAAATCACAACAGAAATGTTGGAACAGGTGGACGAGTTCTTTTTATTACTATTTTATTATTTTATTACTATTTTTTAATTTCAGGGCCAATTTTCTGCTGTAGGGAAAGCATTCAGACCCCTTTAAATGGTTCACTCTTTGTTTCATTGCAGCCATTTGCTAAAAAAGTTCATTTTATTTCTCATTATTCTACTCTCAACACCACATTTTGACAGAAAAAAAAAGAAATGTATAAATATTTGCAAATTTATAAAAAAAAAAAAAAAGAAAAAGTGAAATAACTAATCAGGACTCAACCCTTGAATTCAAATCAGTATGAGCCTGATAACAAACCTGGTCTCATATAACCACACCTGGAGTCTGGATTGGCCTTTGTTGACAGCTGAGGCCAGGTTCCACTCCACACGCTAGATGGAGTCTGCCATTATCTCTTACCCTGAACTTTCCTAGTCCAGCTATAATTAGTATATTTGAATAGCTATGTGGTATATCTGTCAAAAGCACATGTATAAAGGTTTATATTAAAACTAAAGTTACCAGGAAACAGCAAGAACAGAGCTGTTGATAAAGGCTTACTGCTACACAGACTATCAATTCAACAAAAATAGACATGTTAATCTATCTGCAAATTAGCTGTCAGGAACATCTCTTATATAAACACAGTTTTTTCTGTCTATAATGCAAAACTGATGCAAACGTTTATAACATAGTATAATAGTTGTTCTGTTTTTCTAAATGATTCACAGAGGCAGTTGTTTTACATCTTTCTAAGAGCACATTTAGACTGAATCTTGCAACAGATTTTGAGATTTTATAGTAATATGACAATGTATTTGTAATAAAATATTACAGTAAAATTGCAATATTATAAAAAGGAAAGTTATTCTAATAAGACTAAATGTTTAATAGTTATCAAACAAGCTCAGCCAAACTGCAGCCTAAGCATCTTATCTTTGGGTTTTTAATAAAGCAGACCACTTCTTTAAAATGAAATATTACAACCTGATAATTTTTTGAATTTATGTTCGTAATCAAAATTGTGTATTATATGTGTATCTATGTATATCTATATATCTAAAATCTTCCTCACCCACTGCAGGTGGTCTCCCTTTTTTCCTCTACTGCCAGTTTTGTCCTCTACCAGAGGTCTGAGAGCTTGAGGGTTCTACGCAGTATCTTTGCTGTTCCTAGAACTGCACTTTTCATGACCAATATGTCTGATGTATTTCCTGGGATCCTCTGTAACCACCCTCGAGTTTGGGGGTCACTGACCCAAGGTCCCCAATGACCACAGGCACCACTGATGCCTTGACCTTCCAGGTTTTATCCAGCTGTTCTCTGAGCCCTGGTATTCATTTTCTCATGTTCCTATTTCCTGATGTTGCTGTCTACACTTGGTGTCTTGTCTGGTGTTGTAGATCTGGGCCTCTGGTGCTTTGGGCCTGCTCCTGTACAGCCATGATGCAGCCTCTGTACTGTCCTGCAGTCTGGCATTGTTTGGCCATGATAGGATTTCCTGATATTTGCCACTTTGGTTATGTTTCAGTGGCACATCCTTTGTAGGGGCTTATCCTCCCATGATGAACCTCCAGCACCTAATTTTCTGTTCCCCATGGTCTGAGACATTCACTGGTTGTTCTTACAGCCAAGCGTCTCTAAGATCACTGCTGCTATGCAGTATATCAGCTCACTGGTGTCAGGGATGGTTGATGTAGGGGTTGCATGCAGAGCTGCATTCACATCTTCTAGTAGACTTACTGATGGTACTTCATTTACTCTGTAACTGGCTTCATGGTTGCCTGGTGGACATTTTTGCCATGATCTTATTTTTCAGGTCAGTTGCTGCCTCATTCTGTGTAGTTATGCTTATTGGGACGTTGTACCCTATGTCTGGCGGGGAGTTTGGTGTTAACCCCCCTGACCTAGGGTCCTGGTTCCCCCTTGCAAGACCAGTGGTTTTATACATCGTCAGTCTGAAGTCGTGAGAGCAGTTGCCATTTATGGATGCTGGAACATTGACCTACAAGTTGTTTCGCCGTGATGCAGACTGTGGGTTTGAAGTGTCCATTTATCCCAAATTCACTTTCATGTAGCTCCTCTGACAAGTGTTACTGGAGTTGTAACATTTTAACAGAGCTCTGTTCTCGCATCTTGCTCACTTCCTTCTTGTTTCAGTAGCCCATTGTTAATCAAGGTGCTCTGGCTCCCCAGCACCTGACACAGACCTTGTGTTGGGAATCCCTGGAAGGGGGAGAAGTTCCAGGGGGGAACTTCCACATGATCCGTTCAAGTTCCCATCG